CCATTATTGAATATGTGTATGTATTATGAATGTTTTCTTCCACTCTGTGTAATCTTTCTATGTCATGGTGGGGAAACTGAGGCCCAGAGAGGAAGTGGATAGCCCAAGGTAAGAGAGCACTGCCATAGTAAAGCATGGAGAGGCCCTGCTATCCTCAGGAGAAGCTTCCCCCCCACTCCACAGTGTCCTCCCACAGCCTCCTCTCCCTCTCTTGCTTCCACAGCTCAGAAACATACTGCCACGAGTCCCAACATGAAATGCCCTACATGTACCCTCCCTGCTCCCTACAACCTACCCCCCAGCCAAACTGACTCTTGGCCCCCTCCCTAGCAGGGCTCACTACAGGGGTGTGCGCACATGCTCTCTCTTGCTGTCTCAGTTCCTGTTCTGCCTCAGCCCACTCCATCAGGCTCCTGTGCAGCATCCTCGTCAGATGCCACAGTGGTCCCTCCTGTGTTTCCTGCTCTTTTCCTTGGCTGTGCCTCCTCCTTCTCCTGACACCAAGGGCCCACCACTCGCTGTTTAACCTGCTTTTCTTGCCTTGCTCCAATTTTTCTTTAGAGGGAGAGAAAAGGTCTGATATGGTGAATTCTGTGTGCTGACCATTCCCTGCAATCTTTTGCCACCCCTTTCCTTGCAGTCACGTCCTGGCCACTTGCCCTGCCCCAGCAGCCCCAGAACCATTCTTTCAACATCTGCACTGGGTTCCATTGCTTCCCTGATGAGTGTCGGCCACAGTCAGGCCTTGCTTCTCCCTCCAGTCTCAGCTCAGAGAAGATCTCCGATGGCCCAGTTAGAGCAGCCGTTCCCGGCCCCTTCCCACCCTCTGCGTGCCCCATTCCACAGGTCATATCTGCAGATGTGTATTTGCATGGACATGTTACCTCCATGTCCCCTGGGGCACTGACTGCACACAGAAAATGCTTGGTCATGTTTCTGCAGCAGATGGCTTGAAGGTGCTGTGTCCCCTTGGGCTCCGCTTTTTGGCCAGTAAGGAGGGGGCATTCCATTCATGATGGCAGGGACCTTCCCCCCTCAGAGCCCTGCCACATGTGCAGTCCCCAGTACTTTCTGGGAGCCCCCGGCACTCTTCTGTGATTCCAGCTGCCCCCCTCCCCTCCTACTGGACATGGGCACCCCTCTTTTCGCCTCAGCACATCCAACAGCTTGGCATTTTCTAAAGAAGCTTAACCAAGGAATTGAGTAAACACTAGAGACCTTAATAAGTCAAAAACAAAGGTGCAGGGGGGTACAGTCCTGGACTGAGGATTCGGGCAAAGGCCGCAAGCCAGGCCTCTAGCCACCCTGCAGGACCTCAGGCAATGCCGTCTCCCACAAGAAGAAGGGGCTGGGAGGGCAGAGGGCAGACATCTGGCTCCTGGCGTCCCCGTGTGTATTCTCAGAGGTCTGTGGCTGCCAGAATTTTGGGCCGCCCATGGTCCCCTCAGGAGCTTTGTGAAAAAGGGGCCCAGGGCCCCAACCTCAAGATTTTGATCCAGAGGGTCCCTGCTGTATCTGGGCTTTTTAAATATCCAGGTGATTCTCATGAGAACCACTCACTTAGCAGAGTCAGCTGGTTCCCACCTTGCTTCCCACACTCCCTTCCCCTCCCATCCCCTGAGCAATGTGCATCCCTCCCTCTCTCACCCCCTCCACCCATGTCTTCTCTTTTCTCAGGGAGATTCTGGGGGTCCCCTCGTCTGCCCGCTGAATGGCACCTGGTTCCTGATTGGGGTGTCCAGCTTCAGCATGGAGTGCAACAGACATGTCAGCCTCAGCGTCTTCACCAGGATCTCCTACTTTGCCAACTGGATCGATGAGAGCAAGAAGGCTACGCCCACTGCCGATCCTTCCTTGGCGCCCCCTCAGGAGGTTCCCTCTGCTGTGAACAGCATGGCCTCTCGGGGCACAGTGCACAGGCCTGGGATCTGCGTGGCTCTGGTGTCTTCTCATGTCTTCCTGCTGCTGCTCATCGTCCTCAGGAGGCTGTGACAGACCCTTGCCAGCCTTCCACCGTGAGCTGCTTGTGTGGGGGTGGCCTCTGTGTTCCCATCTCTGGGCTCTCCTGTTCATCTGAGGCCACCCCTGCCCCAGGCCCTACGAAATAAAAACAACTGAAGGAGCTTCTTGTTTTTGTTTCCACCCCATCAGAGCCATCTCCCAGGCCCCGCTATGCTTCGAGCTCCTCAGTCCAGGAAGGTCTCTCTCCTCCCTGGGCTGAGGGACACCCAGAGGACCAGGCTGGCCATATGGGATTTAAGTCACCAACCCTGGATGGTGAGCTAATGGGTGTACCATCTTCCAGAAGAACCAGCCATGGCATGGAGGCCAGGGCTTCACCGTGTGGAGGCCGTGGCATGTCCTTCTGGAGTCAGATGACTCACACTGAGCTGGAAATGAAGAAGGGACTTCCAGGCCCACAGGTCACAGAGGATCTCTTTGAAAGGTTGCAGATAGACTGCAAAGGGCTGAGGCAGGCCGAGGTCTGAGGTCTTGGGTCAGCTCTCAACCTGCCGCCCCTGTAACCACAGCCCTGCCCTCTCCCCAACTCCTGTGGGCTTAATCCTGGCCTGTGGTAGTTAAGGTCTGGCTGACCAAGGACTTGATGGCCTAGCACTGAGCCCACAAGCCAGGATCTGAGCTGTCTCCTGCAATCCTCTCTGGGTCACCACATCCTAACCACTCAGCACGATTCTCAAAGGGCCTGGCACCACATCCTCCCACCCCTCAACCCAAACTCTTGATAAGGGAGCAGCCCCCAGTCATTGCAGGCCCACTGTGCACCAAGTGCCATCCAGGTGTTCCCTGCAAATTCTTTCCATTCCTGTTGTCACCCAAATAACCCAGTCCCTTACCAGCAGGTGGGAACAAGTTAAATCTCATGTGCATGGTCAGCACAATCTCATGGGTTCGAAGCCCTGTGCTGCTAACACAGAGGTTTCCTTTTCAACACAGGGCCTGTCCTTCCTTCCCACTGAGGCACCACTGAACACGACTGGCCCTATGAGCTCGGTGGTGTCTAGAAGTGAGAAGAAAGCACTCCCTCCCCTGCTGATAAACTCAGCCGTGGGGCTCCACAGAGGGGTGCTGGGGCCTGAGGTAGGTTCAGCACTTGGTCTGCTCGGACTTGCAGCATTAGCCACCTGCTCTCCCCGGAAGTGCCACTTTCCTTCAACCCACAGTGGCCTCATGCTGGCTGGGCTGGAGTTCCCTCACATGGTGACTTTGCTTTGACCTTCGACAGGAGTGTTGCTGTGTCGGGGTAGGGTGATGTGATTGCCTGCCTGCCTACCTGTAAAGTTCCTCGGGCCTCCTCCAACTCAGTGGATGCAAAGATACACCCAGTGCACTCTGCAGACCTCCAAGATCACAGATCCAGCCAAATTCCTCATTACCTGGAACCAACGTCATTGCTCAGTATTACTAGCAAGGTTCAGTCTCTTTATATATCTGGGACTCGAAGCCTAGTAGGGTTAAGTAACTTGTCTGAGGTCACATAGTAAATAGTGGAACAGGACTTCAAATCCAGATCTCAAGAGAGAGCTTAGAAGCCTTTTCCCCACTTGTGCAGCCATTTCCAGATGCCCCAGGCCCTGTCTGACTTTCCCTCTCAAGCTGCCTTGGACAGGCGTGGGCTGTCCTGTCCCAAGTGTGGCCCATAATACCCTCTGGTCAGTGCCAAGGAAAGATTCCAAATACCAAGACCAAGGTCCTGGAGGAGAAGAGATGTGCAGGGCCAGTGAGCTTGGGGCTAGGGGACAGGCTGGGAGTGTGCCTGGTGCGGGTTTTACCAGACCCATCATGAGGTCTTCCAGATCTCCAAATGGTGCACTGGCACAAGCTGCTGGCTCCCTTTTCCAAAATCAACCCTGGACGAACTGTGGAAATGAGAGGAAAATGTGGATTTCAGAAACTAACCAAAATCAGTGAGGAAATCCTGGAGAAACTGAAGGTTATCTTAAAAGGCTGTAGCTGAGGGTGAAGCCGGGGCAGTGAGAGGATGGGCTTGACAACGGCCATTCACACATTCTGCTCTGTCTCTCGCCTCTCCATGCCTCGTGACAAATGCTGCCAAATTATCCTCAGGTGCCAGTGTTGCAGGGGGGCAGTGTCAGCCTGTGTGAGGGCCATGCCAGCCACCTGTGGGCATGTGCCCTCTATCTCCCTTCCTGGAACCACACGGGGAAGGATTGTTGCTACCTGGGAAGGTGGTTTCCTTCCACTTTCGTTTCTTCGAAGGCTTTCAGGTGAAGCCCTGACTATAGGAGCTGCCTGGGGCTTGGCAGAAGGCAGGAGAGGGTGAGAGAGGAGTTTTGGTACCCGGGCCCCTCCGATCTGGGGTCAGCCATCCTTCTCCTGGAGCTCATCAGAACTTCAGCCTTCCTCAGTGCACATTACCAGACAGGATGATAGAGTAGCTGCTAACCCTGCAGAACAGGCAAACGTGTGCCAGAGTCACTGCCCACCTCAGGAGTATGATTGCCACATAAGAACACAGCAGACTTTACAACATGTCTTACTTGAAACAGACTCTTGGGAGAGACAGATCAAATATTTTTAATAAGCACAATAAATATCCTTTTGGATATAGGGAAATATCATTAGCAGTAAGATCAGAGTCCAAGAAACCACAGAGAAGAACCAAGTCAAAATATTACATATGAAGAATAGTTGAATTAAAGGGCACAATAGGTCAGGTGAGTAATGAGATAAATACAGGGGAGAGGGAATGTAATTATTACTTTGTATGTCCATTGCACAGTATAAACTTTGGAGCTGGTACACTTAAGTTAGGATAATTTGTAGAGCATTTATTTACAAAAGAACTAATTACCAAGCTATGGTTGCATGTGAGGCAAAGAGAAGGCCCAGAGCAGGGGCCTGGCACAAGCAGCAGCAACAGAGCTTCTCCCACCCCTAGACCCTGAGGGACAAGGGAAGGGAAGCCCCTAGACAGACAGCACCTTCAGAGGAACAGGGACATTCAGTTGAGGATTCAGCCTCCCAAAGAGGAAATAAACACACTGACCACTCTGTTCCCTTCCTCACATCTTCAGCTGAGGCTCCTCATTGGCTGGACCCAGTTGCAGCCAGAGGGCACAGGGACCTGTCTGTGGAGCCCACAGCAATGGGCTGGGGAGGGTGAAGTGCACAGCTGGAGGGAGAAGTGGAAGACAGCTGCTGCAGGGGGTCTGCATTACGTGGAGCAACTCTCCTGCTTAAAAAATTAAAGCTTTCTTTAATTGATTATTAAAAGATCTTCATAAAAGCATTGAAAAGGTAGAAAGAGAGCCAGGACCTGCGGGGTCAAATTCTGGGGGAAAGTCTGCAATCAGAGAGGTCATCAAGTATCTGAGCCCCACAGTGGTTTCTGCAGTGAGGGTGTCCTTACAGCTCGCAGCTGGGCTTCCCTGTAGCAGACGTCTGTGAATGCAATGAAATTCAGGACCCAGGAGCTGAGCTATATTAGGGTCCTCCAGAGAAACAGAACCAATAGGATGTGTACATATATAGTGAGAGATTTATTTTCAGGAATTGGCTAATGAGATTTTGGACACTGGCAAGTCCACAACCAGCAGGGCAGGCTGTCAGGCTGGAGACCCAGGGAGAGCCGATGGTGCAGTTCGGGTCTGTTTTAGTCATGTTTCTATCTTCTATATTTTATGATGGTTTGACATGTTGGGGAAGGCTTGCTGGCCAGGGAGAGACTGTCTCTCCCAGGGATAGCAAATTCCAAGAGATAATAAACAATTTGTTTGCAAACACATGTTTCACACGCAAACCGATCAATCCCGAGCCCATACTCCCAAATACCACCTTTATCTAATGTGTACACACCAAGCCAAGATCTTCTCTATAAAAGTCACCCCACGCCCAGGTACTGGACAACTAAGGCCACCCTGTAGCCCAGAGCCTGCTGACGTTATTCAAACTAGCCAGCTCGTTGCTGTGCCTTGACTTTCCCACGGAACCCACAAGAAAGGCTCTGGGCCAGGCTCTGTCGTCACTCCTGTCTCTGCCTCCTGACCCAGCCTGGTGCTTCCCCATGTGGCCATGCCTGGTGTGGCATGCCCCCTCCTCTTTGAAACTGTTAGTAATAAACGTCTTCTTTCAAGTCACTAGCTTCTCTGTGCCATCACTCAGTCACCTCCATAAGTTATGATACAGTTGGTACATTTTAAGGCACAGCCAGAAGCTGTCAGGCTGGAGACCTGGGAGAGCCAATGGTGCAGTTCAGGTCCAAAGGCCAACTGCTGGAGAATCCCCTCTTGCTCGAGGGATATAGGTCTTTTGTTCTATTAAAGCCTTCAACTTATTGAATGAGGCCCATTCACATTAAGAAGGACAATCTGCTTTATTCAGGTTTCACCAATTTAAATGTTAATCTCACCTGAAAACACCTCACAGGAACATCCACAATAGTGTTTGACCAAATATCAAACGCTAACCAAGTTGATACATAACATTAACCATCCCAGAAGCACTATGGGAAACACTCCCCACGTGATGTTGGGCCCCTAGAGAGCTCCACTCTCAGGGTAGGAGCATAACAGGACAAGACATACCCTCTTCCCTCCAACCTCAGGACCTGAGGGAGGCTGCACCGGCACTGAGCAGAAAAGGAGAAGGCAAAGGAACGGGAAGACCTGCACTTGCAGTGTGACTAGGTACAGGTCAGTCAAGCAGCCTCAAGCTGTGAGTGAGGTTTCAGGTGGTCTGTGACCAACTGGGCCCCGGCTCTTGACAGAGGTAGATGCAAAGCTCCCCTAGAGAGTTGTACATTCATTCTTAGTGTAAGAAAATCCCTATAATAATTTTTCTCAAGAGTAACAACCAG